TATTCTGTAATGTTCGAAAGAGGCTGGCCCTTTCTTTCAAACAACCTATTTTTGAACAATATAGGAGTGGAAACAGGCTTGGAATCTAAAAAACCTATGTCCTTCAGAAGATCCAAAGTATATTTTCTTTGACACAAATTTATACCATCTTTAGACCTTGAAACCTCAAGACCTAAGAAGAATTTTAAATCACCAAGATCCTTTATTTCAAACATGTCATGAAGATAATGTTTAGCTTTATTAATTTCATCCATAGTAGCACTAGTAAGAACAACGTCATCAACATAGATAACTAGAGCTATGAATTTATCACCTTCACCTTTAAAAAACAAAGAAGGATCAGAAGTAGACTGCTTGAAATTTTGAGCAAGTAAAGAACTAGTAAATTTCTCATTCCATTTTCTACTAGCCTGTTTCAAGCCATACAAACTTTTATTAAGTTTACAAACAGCATTAGGTTGATCACTATTAAAACCAAGAGGTAAATCCATATACACCAACTCTAACAAATCTCCATGTAAAAAGGCATTGATATCTAATTGACACAAATTCCATTTCTTGGCAGCAGCAATAGCTAATATGGTTCTTATGGTGGTGATCTTTTCTACATGACTAAAAATATCAAGAAAATCAATTCCTGATTTCTAAGTATACCTTTTAGCTACTAACCTAGCTGTTGGGATATCGATGAAGCCCAATTGAACAACAGAATATTTTCCAAGAGGGGTTGAAGTGGATTTGAGAAAAATTTAGCGATTAAGGAGAATTAAAAGGACTTGAAAAATTATTCACAAGGATTTATAGTGGTTTGACTTTTCAACCAAGTCTACATCCACTACCTAAGCTCCTCACTTAGGATTTTCTAACAAATTGACTAATTTGTTCTTTCTTTTTATCAGGATAAAGAAATAACATTTACAAATCCCTATATTTTCAATAGATAAGATAGAACCACACCCTTTTTTCAAAAAGGAATAAAATGAGTAAACAAGAAAATCTCACAAGGTAGGTGTTTACAAAATTAAGCTCACAAAAACACTAATATTTACAAGAGAAAGGATAATAAAAATGAAAAATTCTTTTCTTGTGTTTGAATGCTTAGATAGGTCTTTTAACCCTTCTTCAAGTGTCCTCAACTTGTTTTTATATGTTGGAATGTGTTTGTGGCTATTTCTAGCTGTTGGGGATGATTTGGAGTCATTGGGGATAATTTTTCTACAAAATAATACTGCCCAAGACAGGGAGTATCAATACTTCTTTAATGAGTATCAATACTATCTTTATAATTTTTAAATCAACTAGTCGTTAATAGTCATTGGGCTTGACCAGTATCGATACTATGCTCATGATATCAATACTACAGTGTAAAGTAGTATCGATACCCCTTTGAGTATCGATACCTATTTTGTATTCTGGAATTTGAGCAATTTGGAAAACACTGATAGTATCGATACTACCTAGAGAGTATCGATATTTCTCTTACCTTTCGAATCGGTACCACGTGAACAATATCAGTACTGTTCATGCAGTATCGATACTGTAAGAATAATATCGGTACTTTTCACACAGAAAAGCAATTTTGTGTTCAAATTCTATTTTAATGGACTTTGAATTATATTTGAAAACTTTGAACAAATTCAATCAAGTCCAAAAATATTTTGTCTTAATTTTTTATATCAAACTATTATAAAACATGGTTCAACAATCTCACCATTTTTGATATAACAAAACATTTGAAAATTTGCTTTTGGCAAAACTCCCCTTTAATAAAACATTTAATGAAAAAGAGAAGTATTTGGGAAAAAAATGTTAAAGCTCCCATTTTTCTTTCTTGAAATTGAATTTTTCAAACCTATACTTCCCTCCTTTTTGTTATATAAAAAATAATTCGAACTTTTAAGGTACAAAACAACAATGGAGAGTAAGTAGTAATTTTAATATTAAAATCATTTAAAAAAAATCAAAGCTCTCCCTCAATAAAAACATTCCAAACAAAAACTTGACTTTAAAAGTTTGACACAAAAAGAATTGAATTTCAACAAAGATGAACAAACAAGTTAGTAGCACATGAAATTCAATATATCAAAGTCTAATATACTTTATGCTATACAAAATGTTGTATTTAAGTGCATGTGCATAAAACTGTTCAAAAATGTTATGCATTTGAATTTTTTTTATATCAATTGTTAGAGAGATATCATTTGCAACAAATCACATGCATAAGCATTTAAATTTAAGGTCAAAACTTTAAAATTTGTAAAATCAAAACATTAAAAACAATTTTAACCAAAATTCATTATGATGAACTAAAAATTATGAAAAATCATTAAAATTTTAGAAAATGTTCATCATAATACACTTTTCAACATACATGAGATGAAAAACATAAAATTAATTTAAAATCAAAACTTATGCATGCTTAAAACTAAATGAGCAACCAATTATGCAAGATAATTAAAATAAGCTTAAAGGTTACCCATTCTTTTTCAAGTGTGGCTAGAGCATTTAAACATCTTCACTTTCATCACCATTGCTCTCACACACCTACGAGAGACATTCATTTACATGAGATGAAAAACATAAAATTAATTTAAAATCAAAACTTATGCATGCTTAAAACTAAATGAGCAACCAATTATGCAAGATAATTAAAATAAGCTTAAAGGTTGTCCATTCCTTTTCAAGTGTGGCTAGAGCATTTGAACATCTTCACTTTCATCACCATTGCTCCCACACACCTACAAGAGACATTCATTTTAATTTTGGTATCCAAATTACTTTGGATCCTTGGACGTTAGTTTCAATGTCTCTAGTTCCCTTAGGAACTCATACTTGTCTAATTTTAAAAGATTTTCTTTTCTTTATAAGACAAGTATGTGCATTGTGACCATAAAAATGGAAATGTGAGCATTTTGCCATTTTTAAATATAATGAATTGGTTTGAGAATTTTTTTTGTTAAGCTTTCAAGCTTAACTTTCAATTCCAAATTATTGATTTTGATTTTGATTTTGAAAACTCAAAATCATTTTTCAAAATTTCATTTTTTTCTTTTCAAAATTTTTCTTTTCAAAATCCAATTTTGCTTTCAAAAGAAAATCATTTTGAATTTTGAAATCAATTTCTTATAATTGGAATTCATGGTCTCAAATTCCAAATACAATTCATCATAGACAACTTGTAACTCATTAAAAGAATACGAATTTGATTCACTAGAGCTAGAAGTTACCATTGAATCTTCTTCGATGGCCATGAGGCATAGATTGTCTACTTCATCTTCATCATTGGAGTCATTTTCATCACTCCAAGCCGCCACAAATGTCTTCTTCTTACTTGATCCCTTCTTCTCTAGGATGGGACAATCGTACTTGACATGCCCCATTCTTTGACATTCGAAACACATCGAGGGACCCTTCTTTTTCCTTGATTCTTGTTTCACTACCTTAGAAGTCATGAATCTCTTGAATCTTTTGAAGAGCTTGGTCATCTCATCATCATCATCATCTACCTCTTCACTTGAATCTTGATCACTCTCATTGGTGGATTTGAAGGCAATGCCTACCTCCTCATTCTTCTCGTTTTTATTTTCTTCATATTTTTCTTCTTCGTTCACCATCAACTCATGAGTGAGAAGAGAACCAATAAGCTCATCAAGAGTGAGTGCCTTTAGGTTCTTAGCTTCTATAATCGATGTCTTCTTCGATTGCCAAGACTTTGCAAGAGAGTAAATCATCTTCCTCACAAGCTTCTCATTAGGAATCACTTCTCCAAATCCCTTGAGACCATTGACAATCATGAAAAATCTATTCGTCATAGCTTTGATGTCTTCATCCGGTTTCATTTTGAAATTCTCAGAGCTATGGTTGAGAAGACTAATTCTGGCACTTCATTGGTTCCTTCATGAGTGACTTGGAGCTTGTCCAAAATCTCCTTGGAATTAGAACAAGAGGTAACTCTTTCATATTCATCCGGGGCCTAATGCACAAAATAGAATGTTCATAGCCTTTGAATTGATTTGGAACTTCTTCTTCCTCTCCATCACTCCAATCATCCATCTCATTGGTTAGAATGAAATATCCCTTCATGATTGAGTTCCAAGCTCCTAGATTGTTGGCTTGAATGAAGAGCATCATCATATTATTCCAATATTCATAATTTGCACCATTGAAATAAGGTGGCTTGTTGACCAGTTTAGAGTCTTCAATGTAGTAAGAGTCGGAGGTCGAAGTCATCTTCTCGGTTGCGTCGGGAATCGGTAGAGCGTCTTCAAGGATCGTCTCAATGTTGTTAAACCTTCTAATGAGTCAAGCTTTGATACCAATTATTGGGATATTCGGTGAAACTCAATAATCAACCGGGTAAATTTCCAAGAGGGGTTGAAGTGTATTTGAGAAAAATTTAAGGATTAAGGAGAATTAAAAGGATGAGAAAAATGATGCAAAAGGATTTATAGTGGTTCGACTTCTCAACCAAGTCTGCATCCACTACTTAAGCTCCTCACTTAGGATTTTCTAACAAATTCACTAATTTGTTCTTTCTTTTTCACATGATAAAGAGATATCCTTTACAAATCCCTATCTTTTCAATGACTAAGATAAACCACAACCCTTTTTCAAAAAGGAATAAAATGTGTAAACAAGAAAACCTCAAAAGGTAGGTGTTTACAAAATTAAGCTCACAAAAACACTAATATTTACAATAGAAAGGAAATAAGAATGAAAAACTCTTCACTTGTGTTTGAATGCTTGGATAGGTGTTCTAATCTTTCTTCAAGTGTACTCAACTTGTTTTTATATGTTGGAATGTGTTTATGTTCATTTCTAGCCGTTGGAGATAATTTTTCTACAAAAAATAAAACTGCCCAGGACAAGGAGTATCGTTACTTCTTTAATGAGTATCAGTACTACATTTATAATTTTTAAATCAACTAGCCATTAGGCTTGACAATTTATGAAATTGTTTATTCATAAATAAATAAAAAGTCGTATTGTTCAAAAGCACACATCATAAGCATTACAGGAGACTGCTTGGATTCCACAATACAATTTATGAAATGTGTAGTTTTGGATAAGTTTAATTTTCCTTATTCAAAAACATTATTGAAAAGGTAAAACAGAGGACTTGCTGATTTATTGAGAAAAGTGCCGCGAATCCCAACTTCCATGATTGATTGCTGAGACAATAGCCTCCATCGATGGGCAAATTAACACCACTCACATATTTAGCCTCGTCGCTAGCCAAATACAGTGCTGCATTAGCGAAATCTTCGGGCTCCAATACGGTGCCTTTCAACACTGCTGAAACCGCAATCATCTCCTCTCCCTTCTTCTTATCGAATAGCCCCAGTGTTTTCTGGAACAAAGGGGTCGCAGTTGCGTGAGGTGAAATGCAGTTAACTCTGATTCCGTGCTCGCCTAATTCGACGCTCAAGCTTTTAGTCAACCCCGTGACAGCATGCTTCGATGCCTTGTAGGCATGGGGGTTGCCGTAGCTGATTTTGGACGAAAGACTCGATGTGAAGAGAATGCAGCCTTTCTTGGCAGGAACCATAACCCTAGCAGCATGCTTGGCACCCAAAAATCCACCCAACACATTGATATCAAACACTCTCTTGAAGTTGTCGGTGCTGGTATCCGTCACTCTTACTTCATTGTCACCGATAATCCCTGCGTTGTTGAACATGATGTCGAGCTTTCCGTACTTGGAAACCACCATGTTCACGGCGTTTTCGACATCGGATTCACATGTGACATCACATTGGACATAGGAGATGTTTTCAGGTCCAAGGTCTTGGCAAAGGGAGTGGCCCAAATCGTCTTGAATATCAGCAATGAGAACCTTGGCTCCATGTTTGACAAATAGCCTGGCTGTACACTCTCCTAACCCACTGGCTCCACCAGTTATCAGTGCCACCTTACCATCTAGCCTGTACCCAACAAAGAACAAATAATGTTTAGATATTAAAATTTGTAACAGAAATGGACACAAAATTTTATGTTATAGGACGAACTTATAAAAATAAATTCATTGAGGTAGGATTTAATTACCTCTTGGTTACTGAGGATTCGGAACTCATTGTGGTAGTGAAGAAAATAGAGCGTCGACTTAGCTTGTTTCTTTGAATGAAATGCTTGGGATGCTGTGCTTCACCTCATTGTTTTTCTGGTCTTTATAGATTCAGGGACTGCAGCCATGTTCTGAAAAATCAACAGTGGCGTCGTCCTACTTTGAATTCTTACATTATAAAAATAATGATTATATTATAAATAATAACCTTGCGTCCAGAGATTGAACTCCTCCATTTTAGCACTCTTGAAGTGTCCAATATGACGGCATTTTCATTACTTATGACTTAAAATTTGTCGCGACTTCTCAGCGCATCAAACAATTTCAGTATATATCTCAAAACTGTAGTATTTGTTGTATACTTTGGATTTTTTTTAAACAATTTTATAAAAATATTAGAAATATATTTAAATATTGAATTTTAAAGATACCCAAAAAATGTTAAATATTAAATTCTGAAATGTAACTTCAAATTGTCATATGATAATTGAATTCAAAGTTGGCCAACTTATTTTTATCAAATGAAACCAACCGTCGCCTACTCTTAAGAATGAAAACTTTTCAAATTGAGCTGAGATTCAAGCTCCGCCGCCGCCTTTGATATATAATTAAAATTTTGATCAGCTTATCCATTGACTTATAAATTTATTTTTTATATATTGATAACTATTTTAAAATTTTATTAATATGATTACAAAATAATTATTTAGCTAGACTTGTGTTATTCTATTAACTTCATTTATTAATTAATTGTATATTTAATTAACACATTCCAGTAGTCGCTTGAGACTGCTATCTTTGTCTTCGCTTAAATTTATTACTCTGATACAAGTATTGAAAAGGGTTGCGTTGCTTGGTCATGACCAGACGGGGAATTCTAAAGAACGGGACTGAAAATATTAATTTATTTGTAATATATTAGGGTGTAACTATTTTAAAATAACTTAAAATGATGTAATCGAAAAACTTATCTTACATGTTAAAAGCAGAACATAAAATGTTATAAAACGGAACCAGAAAAGTTATCAATGTAGTAACATAATAGGTTACATCTAAAATATTATAATCGGTAAAAAAATAAGTTATAAACAGTAAATATTATGAATATTATTAACATTTTAGGTTGCACCTAAAATGTTACCAAAGTTTAAGCTGATAGGGTCTTAGACATTATTAAGATAAGAAAATAAATTAAAAATTAAGAACGTTATGAATATATATAAAAATATGCCTAAGCCTAAAAATATCATGGTTCACTAAGAAACAGGTTGCGATATGTAATGTTAATATTTTATTAATAAAATAGGTTGCGTCCAAGAATGTTATGGTTCACTAAGAAATAAGGTACGATTTAGAATGTTAATATTTTTATTAATAAAATGGGTTGCGCCCATGAATGGCCTAGTTTACTAATAAATATGTTGTAATATCAAATGCTAATATTTTTATTAATAAAATGAGTTGCATCCAAAAGTGTCATGGTTCACTAAGAAATAGGTTGCGATCTAGAATGTTAATATTTTTATTAATAAAATAAGTTTCGCCCAAGAATGTCATGATTCACTAATAAATATGTTGTAATCTAATGTTCATATTTATATTAATAAAATGAGTTGCGCTTAAGAATGTCATGATTCACTAAGAAATATGTTGCGATCTGGAATGTTAATATTTTTATTAATAAAATGAGTTTCGCCCAAGAATGCCATGGTTCACTAATAAATATGTTGTGATCTTGAATGTTAATATTTTTATTAATAAAACGAGTTGTGCTCAAGAATGTCATGATTCACTAAGAAATGTGTTGCGATCTGGAATGTTAATATTTTTATTAATAATATAAGTTTCTCCCAAGAATGTCATGGTTCACTAAGAAATAAGTTAGGATATGAAATTTTAATAATTTTATTAATAAAATGGGTCACACACAAAATGTTATAGTGCACTAAAAAAGCAAGTTACGATTTGGAATGTTAATTTTTCTATTATTAAAAATGTGAAAGTATGGATACTTTTTCGAATGTATGGATACTTTTCGAAAGTATAGATACTTTAGAATTTAAAGAAAAATATGGAAAAGATAAGGCTGCAAAGTATTGATGTTTTTCCAAAAGTATCGATGCTTTTAAATTCGAAAGTTAAAATATCTTTTTTTTTCATTTTTTTAAAAATTTGAAAATATCGATACTTTTAAATTATAACGTTAAAATATCATTTTCTATTTTTTTGTTTCAAATTCGAAAGCATCAATATTTTTCCGAAAGTATCGATACCTTTAAATTTGAAAGTTAAAATATCATTTTCCATGTTTTTTTTAAATTTGAGTATGAATACTTTTCGAAAGTATGGATATTTTTGGAAAAGTATCTATATTTTTCCACAAATATCGATACTTTCAAAAAAAATTATAAAATATTCATATCATTTTAAGCTTTTAACTTATTTTGTTATGATTGTAATAATGTTGTAGGTAACACCTTTTTTTTAATGTAAACTGTTTAAGTTATAAGTATGAAATTGTTTATATGATGCAAAAGTAAGATAAAACATGTTTCTCACGATAACGTAGTAGGTAACACATTTTTTATGTCAGTCGTTTAAGTTATAAGTATGAAACTATTTATATTATGCAAAAGTAAGACAAAACATGTTGATTATGATAACGTACTAGGTAACACTTTTTTTAATGTCAACAGTTTAAATTATAAGGATGAAACTGTTAATATTATGCAAAAGTAAGACAAAACATGTTGCTTATGATAACATACTAGGTAACACCTTTTTTAAAATGTTAATCATTTAAGTTATAAGTATGAAACCGTTTATATTATGTAAAGTAAGACAAAACATGTTTTTCATGATAACATAATAGGTAGTGTCTTTTTATGAAAAAAAATATCGATCAATGTAGATTAAGTATCAATATTTTATATTTCGAACTGTTTTCTTAAATAATTTTTCTTGCAATTCACTCATAATAAATATCGATATTTCTCCACAAAAATCGATACTTTTGAATTGAAAAAACATAGAAAATAAGAAGGCTGCAAAGTATCGAACTTCTCCACAAATACAATAACATAAGTATCGATATAAATAAAAAAGTATCGAACCTCATAAAATATGTATTGATATTTTAACTATCAATCATATTTATCAACTTGTTCAATATCTAAAAGTATCAATCATCATCGCATAAGAATCCATGTTTTAGATTTCAATCTTATCTTGAACTTTTTTGATATTTAAAAGATCGATAATAATATGTTAAGTATCGATATTTAAATTTTTGAACCATTTTTTTACGTAACCTATTTTATTAATAAAAATATTAATATAACATACCATAACCTATTTTTTAATGAATCATTACATTCTTTATCGCAACCTATTTTATTAAAAAAATATTAACATTACAGTACATATCACAACTTACATTCATAGTGAACCATAATATTCTTGGGCGTAACCTATTTTATTAATAAAAATATTAACATCATATATCGCAACATGTTTCTTAGTGAACCATGACATTATTAGACGTAATTGTATTTCTTATATATATTCATAACATTTTCAACATTTAACTTATTTTCTTATTATAGGAAAATCCAATGCTCCATCAGCTTAAATTCTGATAATATTTCAGGGTCAACCCATTTTACTATTAAAAATATTAAGATTCCATAATGCAACCTGCTTTCTTAGTGAACCATGACATTCTTGGGTGTAACCTATTTTATTAATAAAAATATTAATATTACAAATCACAACCTAATTCTTGGCAAACCATTACATTATTGGGCACAATCCTATTTCTTATATATATATATATATATATATATATATATATATATATATATATATATATATATATATATATATTCATAACATTTTCAGCTTTTAACTTATTTTCTTATTGAGACAAAATCCAATGCTCCATCAGCTTAAACTCTGATAACATTTTAGGCGCAACCTAAAATATTAATAGTATTAATAAAATTTATCGTTTATAACTCATTTTCTTACCCTGTATAACATTTTAGTGCAACTTGCTATGTTACTCCGATTGATAACTTTTCTAGTTCCAGTTTATAACATTGTAGGTAGCGCTTTTAACATGTAACATTTTTTATCAATCACGGATATTAGCCTTATTTTAGGCACTTCACATCAGAACCTCCCTTACCTGATACAACAACTTGATTGTCTGTATTTCTTTAGGGGTTGTCTAAGGAAAGACAAACTAATATAAGGCTAAAAAATGACGCAACCCAAAATTAAAAAAAAACTTAACAAAATTATATTAGCGAGACTGGAAATGTTAACTTATATGCAATATATTGGGTTGTAACTATTTTAAAATTGTTGAAAATGACATAACCAGAAAACCTATTTTACAAGTTAAAAGTGAAACCGAAAAAGTTGTCAATGTAGTAACATAACAGGTTGCACCTAAAATGTTATAAACGGTAAGAAAATAAGTTATAAATGGTAAATGTTATGAATATTATTAAAATTTTAGGTTGCGCCTAAAATGTTGCAAATGTTTAAGCTGATGAAACCTTAGATTTCCACACGATAAGAAAATAATTTAAAAGCTGAAAATGTTATAAATATATATCTGAAAAATGGTTGCGCCTAAAGATGTCATGGTTCCCTAAGAAATAGGTTGAGATATGGAATGTTAATATTTTTATTAATAAAATGGGTTGCGTCCAAGAATGTCATGGTTCACTAAGAAATAAGTTGTGATATAGAATATTAATATTTTTATTGATAAAATGGGTTGCGCCCAAGAATGTTATGGTTCACTAAGAAATAGGTTGTGATCTAGAATGTTAATATTTTTATTAATAAAATGGGTTGTGCCCAAGAATGTCATGGATCACTAAGAAATAGGTTGCAATCTGGAATGTTAATATTTTATTTTAAAAAATGGGCTTTAACCAAATATGTTATGGTTCATTAAGAAATAGGTTGTGATCTAGAATGTTAATATTTTTATTAATAAAATAGGTTGCGCCCAAGAATGTTATGGTTCACTAAGAAAGTAAGTTGCGATATGCAATGTTAATATTTTTAT